AATGAATTGATGCAGGAGCCCATGGGCTCCTGATGGATGAATGTACAACACATGTAATATGAATGCAATTAAATAGAATACAGGAACATGTACAAAATCACCATTGTTTACATAAATATATTCATATCTCTGGAATGCATGGGAAACATGAACGTCAGTCATAATAAGTGATGCAGGGGCATTGATACAAGGGCCTTAAGGAAGCATTGGTACTCATGTTTTAAACAAGATTAAGCCAATCTAGCTAGACCTGTCCATTATAATATTAAAGCACCGTAACTTGTACTTATGTAGCTACAAGTTTAAGTTCCTGATGCCAGGGACAGCCTGAAATGATGATCGTCATGGTAACAAAATACTGTGCACAAACTGTCATTGTCAAAACAGAATTAAATTATTTCAAAAATTATGTCAATAAATAAACTAATCCTGTTCACAGTGTTTGGCTCTTTTTGAAGATGGCTCTAGAATAGCATCAGATGACAGCTTATCATATCTTCTTGTGAGTCCTTCAGCGAGCTTCACAGCAGCTAAAGTTCCTTTTTCTTTAAGGATTTCAACAAAAATTGAAAAAATAGAAGCTTCAACCTCCACTGATTTTATAACAAGTTTTAGTATTTCATCCATTCGTTGATACTCACTTCGTCCAGTATTTTGAGCAGTTATATCATTTTTATCTGATACAGTGATCACCTCTTTCTGAAGCAGTTTCTCTGCAATTTGCGAAAAATCTTGTGCAAAATAGTTTCTAATTTCTTCTGAACTATCTAAAAGAACTTTAGATGCGATTTCTACAAAATAAATTCTAGCACTAATTGTTGTGAATTAAAGAACAACTTACTTGTGTCAAAAATTTCAGGTAAATGTTGCAGCTCATCATGCTGTCGTTTTCCTGTTAATTATAAATAAAAACTATGTATAACAATAATTTAATTTTACTTAGCCATTTCCAGCAGTCATTAGGAATATCCTGAGATTCCTCATTAATGGTACAACTCAAAATGTAGCGCTGTTGTGGTATAAGCCATATAACTTGAGCTGCATGCCTTCCTTTACCACAGGGACAGTAAAATCCTCGTTTTGGCTTCTCATACATACTAAGTTTATGCATAGACATTGCTACATCAACTGCTTCTTCTACAGCATCTCTTGCTGGAATATAATCATTAGCTGATTTGCAATAAAGTGCAATACAGTCAACTTGCTCCACAAGAATAAGCCTGCCCTCAAGATAGCCTGGTCGACTTAGGTTGAAAAAGTTTGAAAAGTTTGACTCTTCAACGACTTTCCAGGGAGACTCCTTGTGAGAGAGAAGATGAACAATGACTGCACAAAAGAGACCCATTGGAATAGCACTCTCAAAATGTAACAAAAGAGGAGTTGTGTTAGGGTAGGGGTTGATATTAGATACATCCATTATAGGTAGAAGAGCTGGCATGAAGAAAGTATCATTCTCAGGTAGATCTAACTGTGCAGCAATCAGAAGGTATTCAAAAAGGCCAAGTAACTTTTTGTCAAAATTAGAAAATGCCTTTGATATTTTATTACAACTTTTTGATGCCTTTTTAAGAATCTCAATGGAGAGATGACCTTTACACACGAGTGCTTTTTCATCAGGAAGTAGAAGTTTTGCATCAGAATGAGCATCATAGACAAACACCAGTAAATCTCTAAGAATGTTAATGAGACTCTCTATATTAACAAAAACGAGATCACCAGCAGGTGAATCAGGATAAAAGAGTAATTTATTGAGAAAACTGAGAAACTTGATGGCACTTAACGATTCTTCGGGTGACAAATTAACTTTTAATTGTTGACCAAGCTCTTGACAGTAAGATAAACTCAAAACACCACAACCTTCCTTAGCAACATCATGGAGAAGGACACCAAAGCAATACCACTTCAATGGAACTTTAATTTGATATGCATTTTCTTCCAATGCTTGAGCTATCTTATACAGGTCTGAATCTGGCTGTAAATATTCAAAGACTTTATCGCGAGCCTTACGGCCATCAACCTCATACAGATATATTCTACCTCCCAGTCCCACAATTTCACAAGTCTTATGACTATGAAGAATTTTATTTATTTCTACTTTTTTATCAAGAATCGATTCTTTACCATTCTTTAGCGCTTCTTCATATTTGTCACGGTGAGTAGCAACAGGTAGCACTTTTAACTTATCTGAAGGAGGTGTGATGCATTTTGAAAGAGCAGGATCATCAGCAATTAACGAACGATATCGCTGTGTGCTTGAGGCTATTGCAGAGAGAAGCTGCTTCAAAATTTCAATAACTGAGAGTGAACACTGGCCAACACTAATTTCTCCCTCAGGAAGCTGCATAGCTGTAGAAGATGGATCAGTAAGATCTTTAGATAAATTAACTACTAGAAGTAAAACTGAAGCATAAGGCATAAATGCTGGGAGTAACTTTTGAAACTGAATCTGACCTCCAGAGTCAATAAAATACAGCCAACGACGACCACGAAGACTTGTTCCTTCTTTTTGACACTTCTTACATTTCTGATAAAACTTGCGTACCCTAACAACAGCATCTTTCTCGTTACTGAACTCTATTGTAACTGGAGCATCACGAATAACGGCAGAACAGGATTGGGAATCTTTAATACTTTCATTTTGACTCTTGGGCTTAGGAGCTTTGCCACCAGTATGTTGGCTAATTTGTTTTGTAGCTTTGATAGATTTCTTTCTAGCAACTAGTTCACTCTCTTTAGTTTCCTGACCAAGATCCACTTCCTCAGCAGAAGGATCAGATTCTAATTTTTTCACAGCATC